GGCCTCAGCATGGCCGGAGAAGCGGTGCGTCGGTGCGCGCCCGGGATCCGAACCCAGGCCGCCAGCAGCGGAGCGCGCGCACTTAACCGCTAAGCCATGGCCCCGGCCCCTCCTTCTCTATTTTTATGCCCTTCATTTTTTTAAGAAACCTGGTCTTTCACCTCCAGAATTTTCCCACCTTCTGGATTTATTACTTGCCTCCTCATGGTGTCATTTCATATCTCTCATTTTCCTTGTGAACTAAAGGTTAGGTTAGTTGGGAGTCACTTTTCAATGTCCAGGAGCTGTTCCTTGTTTTCTAATTGCTTCTTGCCTAATGAATGCAGTGTTTTCCCAGATCTCTCTAGAAGGTGCTAAGTGGACTTTACTGTCATTGATCTGCACCCTAATTTATCTCTGTTTCCTTTGGGATCAGTTCTGTTTTTTCATCTTTGCCCTTCCTTTTCATTGTTTGGTCTTCCAAAAATGTTCGAGGATCCTTGAGAAGGATCAGCATTGGATCGAAATCCTGCCTCTAACAATTATTAGTCACTTCCTCGGCAGCGTCACAGGACCTGTCTGTGCCTTGTGTTTTTATCTTTAAAATGGGGATAACAACGGTACCCACCTCATGGGTTTGTTGAGAGGATGGAATGAGTTAATACCGTTAGGTACTTCGAAGGGTCCTGGCGTCGAGTAAATGATAACTGCTGGTGGTTTGGCTAAGGAGCAAGAGAGAGAAAGATAGAAGAGGCTGGAGCGAGGGAGGGCCGGACCCCGGAGGCCCTTCTGTGCCACAGTGAGTTTGGATTTTATTCTAAGAGCAGTGTGGAGCCATTGGGGGGCTGAAGCAGTGGGTTCTGATCAGGGAGGAAGCACAGGGGTGTGGGAATCCGGGAGAGGCCCCTAACCCAGTTAAGGGGTCGTGCGTCTGTGTGTGTGTACACACGTGCAGGTGCGTGCACAGGTGTGCCGACGTGTCCCTGCCTGTAGCTGGTGGCTGAGGTCGGACCTGCGGCCAGAGCCCTTGCCCCACCCCCACTCTTCTCGCAGGCTGTGGGTGAGCGTGGAGGATGCTCAGATGCACACTGTCACCATCTGGCTCACGGTGCGCCCTGATATGACGGTGGCGTCCCTTAAGGACATGGTGAGTGAGGAGGCTAAAGGGGACCTCAGGGCGGGGGCTTCCCATTTTGCTCCTCCTGTCCACTCTGGTGTCCCTTCCCACTCTCCTCTCCTGGTGACCCCCAGGTGTTCCTGGACTACGGCTTCCCGCCAAGCCTGCAGCAGTGGGTGATAGGGCAGCGGCTGGCCCGGGACCAGGAGACCCTGCACTCCCATGGGGTGCGGCGGCACGGCGACAGCGCCTACCTCTACCTGCTGTCGGCCTGCAACACCTCGCTCAACCCTCAGGAGCTGCAGCGTGAGCGGCAGCTGCGGATGCTGGAAGGTGAGCTCTGTTCCTGAGCTCACCTGAGGGTGGCGGGGGGAGGGAGCAGAGCCTGGGGCCTTTGGGTCAGGGGCTTGCCGGGAGGACCCCATCCCTAGTGAGGAAGAGAGGACAAAGGACACCCCAGGAGGGAGCCATTGCAGGGAACTGTTTGAGACCCGCCAGCCTGGGGGAGAGGGGCTGAGGCCTGTCACAGCTCTGGCATCTATCAGCTGTGTAACCTCGCGACAGTCCCTCCCTGTCTCTGCTCCTCAGTGTTCTAAATCTGTAAATTGGATGTGATGATAATAATAGCTAGCCTTTAGTCTACATTTTTTACTTCTTATTTTGAAATATTTCAGACCTACAGAAAAGTTGCAAAATTATACAAAGAATTGTATAACAAATTCCCATGTGCCTTTCATGTGGATTCCCCCAAAATATTAACATTTTATCACATTTGCTTTGCTATAGCATTCTCTCGCTCTATAAAATTATTTATAAAAATTATTTGTATATGCATAAATACTTTTTTTCTGAGCTGTTTTGAGAGTAAGTTGCAGACATAGTGTCCCTTTCTCCTAGACACTTCAGTGTGTATTTCCTTAAAAAAGAAAAAAGGTCATTTTTGTACATTACCACATACAACTTTCAAATTTAGGAAATTAACACTGATACAGTACCATTATCTAATTTATAGGTCTTACTTAAATTGTACCAGTTGCCTCACTATCATCCTTTATAGTGAAAATCGTGGCCGTCTGCCAGCCTGCCTCCAGACTGAGGACTGAGCCTCTCTCAGTCCTGGGTCCCCATCTTCCCTGGACTCTGCTGATAGTGACGTTTGAAGAGCCCAGGCCAGCTTGGTCTTTTGTCCACGTGTCCTCATGAGTGGATTCAGATTCAGTATTTTGGCAAAACCGCTTCAGAAGTGTTGTCTGTCCCTGCAGGGCATCACTTCAGGAGCACGGGTGTCGGTTTGAGGCAGGATTCTTAAGCCGGGAGGGCACAGGAGCATTCGTGGGTGGAGGAGGGACTCCGACCCTGTGGGAGCCAGACATAGCCAGGTCTGGGCCCAGCTAGCGGACCGAGTGGAGACTCCTCCAGGGAGGAGGGAGAGGATAGAAGGAGGATTAGCTGGCTCAGGGTGTGGACGAAATGGGCTGCTCCTCCCCAGATCTGGGCTTCAAGGACCTCACGCTGCAGCCACGGGGACCCCTGGAGCCGGCCCCCCCGAAGCCCGGGGCCCCCCAGGAGCCGAGGCCGGGACAGCCCGCCACCGCGCCGGAGCCCCCGCCGGTAAGCCGCACCTGTGCGCGCCCCCCCCCCTAGGAGGTCACCCCCCGCGCCCGGCGCCCTGCGCTCGCTCACCGCCGCTCCGCCCGCAGGTGGGCTGGCAGTGCCCCGGCTGCACCTTCATCAACAAGCCCACGCGGCCCGGCTGCGAGATGTGCTGCCGCGCGCGGCCCGAGGCCTACCAGGTCCCCGCCTCGTACCAGCCCGATGAGGAGGAGCGAGCTCGCTTGGCCGGCGAGGAGGAGGCGCTGCGCCAGTACCAGCAGGTGGGCGCGGAAGTCCCTGGACAGACACCTGCAGCCCGGCCGGGGGAGGCGTAGGCCGGGCAGGGAGGCACCTCCGCACCGCCGCTCCTCTCCCGTTGCTGCCTTCCCCTCATGACCACACCGCTGGCGGTGACCTTGCACTTGACTGTGACCCGCTCTCCTGGAGGTCATCCTGTCGCTGAGACCCTGCTCCCTGCCTGTGACCACACGCCCTGCCCCTACGTGGGCTATGGCTCCGCCCCTACCTTTGACACACACACCCACTGTGCACACAGTGTCCTGGTTGTGACCCCGACACCCAAGTGGTGACCCTGACCATGCCCCCATCCGCCCCCCCTCTTCCGCCTGTGACCTAGTTCCTGCTCCACTCAGCCATGACCTCACCCTGGACCCTGCTACTCCTGAGCCCCCTCCCTCTCTAGCTGTGGCCCTCTCTGACTTCCTGTGACCCTGGACTTGCCCCTCACGGCTCCCTAGGAGGTCACCCTGCCCTCTGTCCTGCTCTCCCATAGTCCCACCCCCTCTCGGTGACACACGCACTGATCACTCACATACCTGACCCTGAGTGTTCCCCCATTCTGATCGGACGTCCTTCATCCCACACCTGCATTCCGCCGGGACCCAGTGCTGTCCTGGCCCCACCCCGACCGTGACCTCACTCCTGGTCCCATCTACAACCTTGGCCCGGCCCGGCCCCGTCCTGTCCTCTCTCCTGCCTGGCTGTTCTCTAGCTTTATCACCGCCTGCCCCATACCCCTGACCTAGTCTGTGACCTTGACCCGGCTCCGCCGCCACCTCCTGGCCCCAGTCCTGCCCTGGTACCCCAAACTCGCTGCTCAGGCCCTGGCCCTCTAACTTCCCCTACCGCCATCGCTCTCTCGCCTGGCCTGGCTGGACCCCCGTGGCAGGCCCTGCCTGGCCCGCCCCCTGCCCCAGCTTCCCCGCCTGGCTGCCGGCCCCCCACCCCCACCCCCGGATCCTGACTCCCCGGCCCCGCCCCCTTTCTGGTCTGACCCGCCCCGCGGCCCCGCCCCGTGTGCCCAGCGGAAGCAGCAGCAGCAGGAGGGGAACTACCTGCAGCACGTCCAGCTGGACCAGAGGAGCCTGGTGCTGAACACCGAGCCCACCGAGTGCCCCGTGTGCTACTCGGTGCTGGGGCCCGGCGAGGCCGTGGTGCTGCGGGAGTGTCTGCACACCTTCTGCAGGTGCGGCCCCCACCCCGCCCCAGCACCCAGCGTTTGTCCGGCCGCCAGTTACGGAGGGCTGGTAGGGGTGGGCCCTGTGCTCTTGCGTCATTGGACACCCACGAAATCTGCGAGGTAGGCCCTCTGGCCGCATTCTGCGGAGGAGGATATGAGGGAAAGAGAGGCCAGCGGCTTGCTCAGGGCCGCACAGCTCGGGCGTTCTGGCTGTAGAGCCTGTGTGCCCTTCACCGCGACCGGCCCAGGCCCACGCGAGGGCACGAGGTCCTGGCGCTGGCAGCCTGGCCGGTGGACAGTCTCTCCTCTCTGAGGCTCCTCTCCTGGCCCGTCGGTCCTTGGGCTGTGGAGAACGTGGCCGCCTCCTCAGCGGGAGCAGTGGGCGCCGGGGCTGTGCTGGGCCTGGGCATCCAGGAGTGGACCAAAGAGCTCAGTTCCCGCCTCCTGGAGCTTCCATTCCAGTGGGGAGGGGGAGGGTAGTGAATAATCACTGATACAGTTGTAAACTGTGTCAAATGCTAATGCCAGTGGATTAAAGCAACTGGGGCCCGGCTCCTGGAGGGGTCAGGGAAGCCTGTAGGGAGGTGACAGTTGAGCGGAGACCAGAGGGTCTGGCGTGGGTGTGTGCCTGGCCTGTTTGTGGCAGCAAGGGGTCAGTGCGGCTGGAGCAGAGGTGTTAGGGAGGGCGGGTCACCGGGCTTTTGTGAGCCGCAGTGAGGGCTTCAGATTTGTTTGGCGTGGGACAGGATGGGAGGCTGCCCGTGAGGATGCGGCCGCAGCGTTGAGGATGTAGTCTAGGGGTGAGGAGTGAGGAAGCTCCTACAGTCCTCCAGGCGAGGGCTGATGTGGACCTGGGCCGGAGCAGTGGCGGTGGCAGTGGGGTGGGCAGAAGTGGAGGCCATGATGATGGGTTGGTGGGAGGAACAGGAAGGAAGGGAGGTACTGAGGAGAGCCCCACCTGGGGCCAGGCCTCGAGGTGGGAGGGGTGGAGTCCTGGGGCATGGGGTTCAGATGACCCTAACTTCCACCCATCCCCTCCCCCAGGGAGTGTCTGCAGGGCACCATCCTCAACAGCCAGGAGGCCGAGGTCGCCTGCCCCTTCATTGACAACACCTACTCATGCTCGGGCAAGCTGCTGGAGAGGGAGATCCGGGCGGTAAGGCCTGAGGGGGGTTAGGACACAGGCTGCTGGAGAGGGGGATGGGGGCATACCCTGAGTTGGCAGGTGGGAACTGGCTCGGAGCGCCAGGCTCAGACAGCAGACATTTATCGAGAGCTTTCCCTGTGTGGGATGCTCGGGGCCCAAGCAGTGAGCAGGACAGGAACTGGGGGAAGTAGCTGGTAAAGAAACCATCCTTATGAAGGAAAGACAGCAGAGGGGTTAAGAGTGGGGCAACTCTGCGGCCAGATGGCATGGGTGACCTCAAGCCAGATACTCAGGCTCTGTGTGCTTCGGTTTCTCATCTTGGTTAGTTAGGATCAAAGTTAGTTTCTGTTTCACGTGTTGTGAAGATTATAGTAGAGAATATGTGTAAAGAATTTAGAGTAGAGCTTGACACGTGGTAAGCCCTTGTGTCAGTTAGCTTTTGCGGTGTAACAAATCACTCCCGACTTAGTGGCTTAAAGCAACCACCATTTATTTAGCTCATGAATCTGCAACTTAGTAATTTGAGTTGAGTTTAGCTGGATAATTCTTCTGGTCCAGACTGGGCCTGGCTGACTTCCTGTGGGCTTAGCTGGTGGGTCAGCTGTCATGGACTGGTTTATGACGGTCTGGTCTGCGATGGCTGGGATGTCTGGGCCTCTTTCCACTCTGCTCTCTTGTCCCCCAGCAGGCTGGCCAGGGCCTGCACACGTGATGGTGGGGCCCCCGTGTAGGAGTGCTTTCCTGGTCTCTGCTCGTTTCTCACTGGCTGGCGTCCCGTTGGCCAGAGCAGGTCGCACGCTCAAGCCCAGAGTCCACGTGGGAGGGACCACCCAAGGGTGTGGCATCAGGGAGACACGAATAAATCGGGGCCGGGCATTACTCCAGCCATCCGTCACGGTGCTGTGATGTATACACGTGCGTGCGTGCTGTTGTTACTATTATTAACGTTGTTCTTATCCAGTCCCTCCCTGACCGCTGCTGATCTTGAGCAGGTCCTCTCCCTTCTCTGGGCCTCCATTTCCCCATCTGTAAAGTAGGCTGTTGGGCTTGACTCATGGTTTTTAAACTGCTGGGGAATGGCCTTCTGGAACTGGGCATCTGGGATTCCAGGAGCAGGGCCCAAGGTGGCTGAGGTCCAAATGGGAGACCCCTCAGGCACATACACAAGAGCCCCGGTTCTCCTCGTCCTTCCTGTCTCTCCCTATGCCCTGCTTCTCCTGAGAACCCCCTGACTTCACCAGGTGTTTCCTGGAGCTCAAGGGCTTCTGCCTCAGGCAAAAGAGGGGCAGAAGGGGGAACTTTGGTCACTCTCAGCCCTGCACTAGGGGCAGCCCCATTTTTCCCTGTCGTCTGGGGGGCGTCTTAGAAGGGCAGCTCCAGGTGGTTGCTGAGGCCCCCTCACTCAGGCCTGGAGAGGCCCCAAGACAGAGATCATCCCATATGGCCCGGCACCCACAGTCGTTGCCCAGAAGTTTTCCCTCCGCGGTCCACCCCTGCTAAGGGGCATTGTGATGGGGCCAGAGTTCATGCCCAGGGGCTGCAGGCCCCATGCTTCCCCGGAGCCCCGGGGAGTTGACCAGAGCCTCAGAGTGACCTCAGAAGGGTCAAGTGTGGCAGGGAGAGAAAGGGGCAGGGATCAGCAGAGTAATGCACCAGAGGTGGTTTTTACCAAAAACATGCCTAAACCACACAGAACCAGAGCAGAAATCAAAGAGAAAAGTCACCCACAACCCCGCCATCCCAGGAAATCCTCAACTGCATGTTCTGTTTCCTTTGGTGTCTTTGGGCAGACATGATTTTTTTTCCTTTTTAAATCAACCCTACTAAGGTATACTTTGCACACAGTACAATGCACCTGTTGTAAGCGAGCAGTTGGGTGAGTTTGGATGAATGTAACTCATGTGACCACCACCCAGTCCAGATACAGAACACAGGCATGATTTTTACCTCATCGTAACCAGCATAGATGTAATAATAGCTTTTACTATTTTGCTACAAAATCTCTCTAAAGATTATTATAAATCTCTATGGCGTATCTCCATGGCATATCTCCTGTTTATACCTCTTCTTTTAATAATCCACTTTCTCAGTTTGCAAGGAATGCTTCAAGGAACATCTCTTCCTTCCTACGTATTATTTTCTTAGGATAAACTTGTAGAAGTGGAGTGAGTCCCAAAGGGTCAGAAAAGTTTGGGATGGTTGAAACATTATCACCACATTACTTCCTCAGAGTACATTGTACCAGGATACTAGTTTAACCACACTTTCCTCAGCATTGCATGTTGTTATTTTTGTCCATTTTTCCTTTTTCTATTATTGTGGTAAGATATACATAACAATTGACCATTTTTAAGTGTACAGCTCTGTGGCATTAAGTACATTCACATTGTTGTGCAACCATCGCCACCATCCATCTCCAGAACTTCTATCTACTTTTGAATGAAGTTTTTAATCGTTGAGGGAGATGTGAAGAAAGGAGCATAGGGCTGGGTTGGACCTTATGGGTTGGGACTTCCTGGAGGATATTTGGTGGCAGTGAGGCCACATATCCGGTGTTCTGAGCCCCGAGCAACCAAGTTGTGGTCTGTTGGCAGCTGCTGACCCCAGAGGATTACCAGCGATTTCTGGACCTGGGCGTCTCCATCGCTGAAAACCGCAGTGCCTTCAGCTACCACTGCAAGACCCCCGACTGCAAGGGATGGTGCTTCTTTGAGGACGACGTCAACGAGTTCACCTGCCCCGTGTGTTCCCACGTCAACTGCCTGCTCTGCAAGGTGGGGAGTGGTCCCACACTGCCTCGTCACCCCAGTCCTGCCAGGAGCTCACTGCAGTTCAGAGCTCGTTGTCCTGGGAAGGGACCTGGCATACTGGCCTGGTCGGCATGACTTAGAGCTGCTTGTCAGTGACGGAGCCTGGCCTGGGCCCTGAACTGAGCCTCAGCCTGGGACCAAGCCCTGACCCTGGACCGAGCCCTGACCCTGAGTCCCAGACCTGGCCTCCGATGGAACCTCAGCCTAGACTGATCCCTGGCCTAGTACTGAGCACTAACCCTGGCCTCTGACCGAGCCCTGACCCTGGCATCCGACTGAACCCTGATCCCAGTCCCAGACCAAGCCCAGCCCTGGCCCCAGACTGAGTCTCAACCCTTGTCCTGAACTGAGCCCTGCCCCCATCACCTCAGTAGTTGACCACTAAAGAGACTGGTCTCGAGCGAGTGGCTAGGTCTGAGCCTGGGCGCAGCCTAAGCGAGCTCAGTCTAGAGCGTCGGGCCCACAACCTGTCTAGGGACAAGGGGCTGCAGGCTGGGGAAAGATAGGGTAGGGGTTTCTGTGCCCATCAGGACTTAAAATGAATAGGTGTATATTATTATCGTCACATGCGACGACCCTGGCATCACCCCCGGGTCTCAGTGTCCTCTTCTGTAGGATGGGTGTATGGTTGACGAAGCAAGGCCCTGGCAGTAACTGCCTGTGTGGATGCCTGCTCTGCCCCCCACCTCTCGTGGCTTTTTAACCCCCTGGGGGGCCTTCTCACCTCGAGCCCCTCGCCCCGAGGCAGGCCATCCACGAGCAGATGAACTGCAAGGAGTACCAGGATGACCTGGCCCTGCGGGCTCACAACGATGTAGCCGCCCGGCAGACGACGGAGATGCTACAGGTGAGGCTGGGGCAGGGCTGAGGGCCTGGGGAGTTGAGTTCTGGGCACTCTCGGGGGGTGGGAGCTTCTTGGACAGGGTTGTGGTTCAGCCAGGCCTGGAGGCTCTGACCTCCTCCTGGCTGTCACCCCCATCCAGAGATGGGCCTTAGGACGAGTGGTCCCATGGCGGGCCACAGGAGGAGAGTCCCGGTGGAGGGAGGAAGCCGCGGAAACACAGGAGAGGAGGCCGGATGCAGTCAGGCCTGGGTGGGGCAGCGTAGGAGAGTGATGGCACAGCTCCGGGGGGGACAGTTTCCCTCGCAGTGGGGAAGGGCCCGGGGAGCGGGGCGGGCTGGGGAGCTGCCCCAGCCTGGCCCCAGGTCAGCACCTGCTCTGCCCCAGTCGATGCTGCAGCAGGGCGAGGCCATGCACTGCCCGCAGTGCCAGATCGTGGTGCAGAAGAAGGACGGCTGTGACTGGATCCGCTGCACCGTCTGCCACACCGAGATTTGCTGGGTCACCAAGGGCCCGCGCTGGGGCCCCCGGGTGAGTCCTCCGGGGGCAGAGGGCCGGTAGTGGTGGGGGGTGCCCTCGTGCGCCTTGCCCGAGAGTAGGGATTGGACAAGTGTAGCCCCCAGGCCAGATCCAACCCACTGCCCGTATCTGTACAGCTTGTGTGGTAAGAAGGGTTTTTACATTTTAGATGGTTGAGAAGGCTCAAAAGAATATTTCATGACATGTGAAAATGATATGGAATCCAAATTTCATTGGCCATAAGAAAAGTTTGATGGGAGCGCAGCCAAGCTCGCTCATCTACATACTGTCCGTGGCTGCTTTTGTGCTACAAGGGCAAGAGACCCTACGGCCCGCAGAGCCTAAAATGCCAGGCTCTTTACAGAAAAAGGTTGCCGCCCCTACCCTAGAGGACAGTGATTAAGGGGTCAGCTGGAGTCCAGTGGCGTGGGTCCCTGGCTCTGGCACACACACTGGCCGTGTGCTTAGGCTGTTATGCCCTTCTCTGAGCCTCAGTTTCTTCCTCTGAAAGATGGAGATGATAGCAGGGTTTGCTGTCAGAATCAAATGAAAAAATACCACAGAAGTGCTTAGCCGGGTGCTTGTCACATGGTGAGGACTCCGCATCTGGGAGCTGTCATTATTAGGGGTGTGTTCCTGGCATTAGGGGCTCATTGTTATATACAGGCAGACATTAAGACAGATGGAGGCAGAGAAAGCTGCCCTTTTTTATGCTGCCAGTGTGCTGCTGACCCACCCACGATATGCAAAGATCTCTCAGATCCTTTCCCTGCTCTGGGTCTAGGGGTGGGTAGACTGAGACCATGTAATTGGGGGCGCTGTGCAAGCCCAGAAAGGCCTTAATGGCTGCCTCCATCAGGTAGCTGAGGCTGGGAAGGCCATTCTTAGCTGAGGGACCTGCCCGAGCAAAGGCCTGCAGTGGCAGTGTGCACTACTTTGGGGGTGCGATGGAATAGCACAGGGGGGCGTGCTGTCTTCACTGCCCTGACCTTCTCTTCTCTTCCCCCATCCTCTAGGGCCCAGGAGACACCAGTGGGGGCTGCCGCTGCCGGGTGAATGGGATTCCTTGCCATCCCAGCTGTCAGAACTGCCACTGAGCTGAGGATGGCCCGGTCCCCATGCTGACCCCAGGCCCACATTCGCAAGCTGCTGTGGGACAGGGCAGGTGCTTTGGCTCTGATTTCTGGCCTGGGAGACACCTTTGTCCTTGGCTGAGACAGGGGTCCTGCAGAGGCCAAGGCCCCTGAGCTGCGTGGACGGGTGTTTGCTGTGGGTGTGGCTGGGCCCCGCCCGAGCTGGCTGTTGTCCAGGGCTGCACCTGCCCCAGTGCATTTGCCCTTCCCCTGGGGCTTGCCCGCCAGACCTCGCATCTTTTCTCTTTGGCTCCCACCTCTGCCCGACCCAGCCTTAAACACAGCCCTGGCCAGAGGCCTTCCTGAATGGAGTCTCAGAGAGCCCTGCCTGAGTCCACACTCCCCCATCCTCTGCCACCGTCTACTGGCCGCTGTGCTCACAGCCTACCACTTCGCCTGTCAGCTTTCTGGGGTGACTTTTCTCTGTCTTTGCTGTCGGAGGCCTGGGGTCTCTTAGAATTGCTGCTAATCCTGTTCAGAGCCAGGAGGGAGACCTGGCAGTTTCTAAAGCACAGCCCATGTGGTCCAGCTTCCGCATCTCCCTCTTTGCCGCCAGTGTAAGCTAATTAAAATGTTTTTGCAGGAAGGGGTGTGTGTGCTGTCCCTGAGGGGGAGTGAAAGGGTCATGGGCTGGGACTCGACACACAGGCGGGACCCCAAGCTCTCCGGGAATCACAGCAGGAAGTTGCTACATCGGCCACTGTCAGTGGTGGAACGAGGGTGGGACTGAGCACCAGGATCCTTGCCCCAGACTTGGCACCCCTGTGCCCAGTTGGAGGGGTGGGATGCTCTTGGGTTAACACTGACCTGGACCGGTGGAGTTTGCAGTGTGTCGAGGGTCCACAAAGCAGGGTCTGCAGATCAGTGTGGGCTTTTAGGGAGGGAGGGGCTGAGGCAGCAGCTACAGGCTGGCGGGAAAGGCTTGCTGCTCCCTTCTTGCTTCTCAGTGGGCATCCAGGGTTGGGGGACAGACATTTCAGAACAGAAGAAGCGGCTGCAATTGAGGGGTGAGATTGTCCATCCTAATTTTAACATTTCAGGCAAGATGGGACAGTATTGGTCCAGCGATATTTATTAGTCCCGGCTCTGTGCTGGTCAGAGATGAATAAAACATGGTTCTGGGTGTCTGTTCTGTATGTTTTCACTGCATTGTGTGACTCACCCCCTTCCCCTGCTGAGATCTGGTATTTGATGGCCCACACACTGTCTGAGCCCCGAGGTGGATCATCATTACAGCAGGTGGGGGAGGGTCCAAGGCCTGGGATCCAGGCTCCAGAAGTGGGGCATGTGGTTTTGGCGGGGAGGACATGTTCTAGCCCCTGGAAAGGCATTGCCATCCTGTCCTTGGATGTCAAGGCTCAAAGAAGTTGAGGCCAGGCACTGGGAGCGGAGATATCAGAGAACATGAGTGCCTTCCTGCTCTGCCAGTGTTGGCTTATGGCAACTGTCACAGTTGATGAAGGACACGCTTGGACAGCCTCCCCGGAAGGGCCGGGCAGAGCCACTGATTGATTGAGAAGAAACAGAGCAAGATGAGGAGAGCTGGGCTGCAGGAGAGGGAGATGGGGCCTGGATCGGGGTGGATGCGCTCTTACCAGCTCCTCCCTCCTCCCTCTCCTGCCAGGGCCCATCTTGGCGTCCCTCAGGGGCCTGGGCACAAGAGGAAAGCAGAGATCATTGTCTTGGTGCAGAGGGTGCAAACTGCTAAGCCCCAGGCTGTAACCAGTTCACCCAATATTGTTTTAGAAATTTGAATTGGTTGCCAGTATTTTAAAATGGAGAGATACTAGATTAAAATCTAGATGCCTAGCTTCTCTTGAAAAAGTTGAAGCTTGGTAATTCTGGGTCCTTGTTTTCACTTGGCAGGAACGATAGAGTCACGTGATGGTCGCTCTTCATGAGGGTTTACCCCCTCCAGTCACCACAGTCCTTGTCACCCCCAGTACCCACACCGAGGCCTTTCCAGCGCCGTTGCACCATTCTTTTCCCAATGAGTAGTAAGAGGTATTAATGAAGTATTTCTTTACCCATGGCTATATCACAAGTCAGGCCGAGGGGGCTGCGTTGGCTGCCATCTTTCACTCGGCCCGCTCATCTGTGCCAACCCAGGCAGTGTGTCTTAGTCTGCTGCAGCCACGTGGAGAGTCAGGAGTGCAAATGGAGGGGTGGGGGCCGTCGGGGGGTTCCAGCCTCCAGCACCATACTGAATGCACCAGCCAGCGTTTAAAGGATGTAAGATGGGCAGCCTCTCAAGTGCTCCCTACGGCAGAGTCAAGTGGAGGTGCCTCCCCCTCCCAAGGGGTCACCCCATGCCAGGCCCCAGACCTTGAGAGCCCAGCACCAACTCTTCAGGGCAGACTTGAAACCAAACCCCCATGGGCTTTGGACAAACCAGCTGCCTGAGGAAGCAGCAGGAAGTCCCAAACGTACTTCGGTGACAGACTCTTGCTCTCCCGGAGCAGGGGAAGGCCAGTGGAAGCCCACTGCTCAGATGAAGAGCAGCTGCGGCTGCTGTGGGCAGCAAGTGGAGGACGGGCCCCACGGCCCGCGCCAGAGCTGACGCGCGTCTTCCTCTACTGTCGGGGCTGCCAGGAAAGCCACTCGCTGAAAGAGCAGGAGGCTGGAGGCAAGCCCACAGCCTTCTGGGCTCACAAAGGCTGCTGCGCAAGTTCCAACCATGCGTCAGCCTGGAGAGAAGATGCCCGGCAAGCAGAGGGCCTTTGTGAGGACAGGACAAGGCCGCAGAAAACACAGAGGGGCCGGCAGGGGAGAGAGAGAAAGCCAGGCTGAGCCTCAGGCCCCAGCATCTCTGGGATGGATTTGGCAGAAGCCTCTGGCCTAGTCTTTCTCTCAGTCACCACGTAATCCCAGGATGAGCATGGGGGGCCCAAGTGCGGGGCTGGCTAAAGGCATTTATTGATCGATAAATGTCCCCTGAAATGGAATCAAAACACTTGCACCACCTCATAGTTTGTAAAGCATTCGCCAACATCACTTCATTAAACCATCCATGTGGGATGGGACTATCCCTGTTTTACTGATACTGACAGTGAGTCTCAGAGACGTTGTGACTTGCAGAGGCTCTCACAGCCAGGAAGTAACACATGTGCCATCATGCCACCAAAGAATACTCCCTCCAAACCCAGTCTTGGTCATGGCCCACCCTCTCCCGCAAATCGCCTGCAGCGAGTCCCCACTCCCTTCCACAGTGCTCGAAGCTGTCCCTGGCAGGAGCCCCCCCGTGCCCTTCCACTGACCTCGGCCACTCCATCTCTCTACAAAACACATTCAGCGGTTATTTTGACACCATTTTCCCTCAGCCTTGCGTGTTGTGCGGCATTTTCTGACAGCACTTCAACACCGAGTGTCCAACCATTCAATTCAGCGCTGACACTCCCTGCCTGGAGCAAGCATGGGATCCACAAGTTAAAAGGCGCGGTGCCACCACACTGCCCACCGCAGATCCAGCTGCAACTGAGGGGCCCAGGTACCCACACTTCTGCCAGGCCAACTACAATTTCAGGGGTTTCTACAACCCCACTCAGGTTCAATAATTTGCTAGAAGGGCTCACAGAACCCAGGAAAACACTTTACTTAGATTTACTGATTTATTATAAAGCACGCAATGCAGGAACAGCCAAGTGGCAGAGATGAGTAGGGCAGGGTATGGGGGTGGGGAGACCTCCCAAGCCTCTCTGGATGAGTCTCCCTCCCAGCACCTTCATCTGTTCCCCAACCCAGGAGCTCTTGATCCATCTCTGAATCAAGTTTCTGTAGAGCTCCAGCTCCAGCCTCCCCACCCTTCCCAGGTCAGTGGGTGGGGCTGAAAGTTCCCATGCTCCAATCACTTGGTCTTTCTGGTGACCAGTCCCAAACCCTGAGGCTATCTAGTTAGGATAAACTCAGGCGGGATCAAAAGGGATCATTATGAACAACAAAAGGTACTCCTATCACTCAGGAAATTCTAAGGGTTTTAGGAAAACTGGGGACAAAAAAAAAATATTTCTTATCGTCCCACACAGGCCCTTCCTTCATTTTCCAGTGATCAAAATTCTACTCTTTATGTTCAACCATCAACTCCTAAGAAGCTGCCACTGAATCTGCCACTCAAAACAAATTACTCCTTTAATGCAGCTCTCTGGTGTGAGCTCCCAGAGGCAGGGCAGTGCCCTGGCCAGCCCTGTGTACTCCATGAGTCAGATCATAGGGCAGCACGGACAGCTGGCCTACATGTGGGACGGGGGCAAGCAGCCGAGCGATGCCAGCTCAGCCTTGGGCCCCCTGATATCTCCCCTCCGGGCCAGGGAAACAGGAATAAACATCCCAGACAACATGGATTCTTGCCTCCGCGACTGGCCCATCCTGAGGCTGGAGGCACTCATCACTGCTCTGGGCTCCCACGAGCCAACAGCTGGCGTGTTGAGAGGATACTGGAAGAGCTAAGCAAGAACAGCTCTCAAGAGCTCCTTTGTGGATGGAAATTACATGTGGAGGCAAAGTTGCTTTCACATCAGGCTCTGGCTGGGTTCCAAATCCAAACGTCAGCCTTTAGAGCCAAACGCACCCCCAGAACAGTGTGCGAAAATAGTCAAGACCACCCCAGACTAATGTTCCACACCACTCGCGCTGCTTAACTGTGACCAGTGGCCCTGGGCAGCAGCGGGAGTGTGCATGTCATACTTGCAGATGAGACAGAAGCAGGGCTGCAGGTATCGCCCAAGCTCTCCAGCAAGTCGAGGCCAACCAGGAGTCCACAGACCACAGCACAGTCCTGGGCCAGGGCTGGGAGGGCGGGAGCATTGAGGCCAGATGTCTAAAGCCAGAGCCCACTCCCAACAAGAGGTGGACAAGGACGGAATGACAGAAGACATCGGCAACCACAGAGGCTATTTATTCCATACAGGGCTCTGTACAAAATATTTACACATATTCTTTACAGAATAGTAAACCATCTGAAGGTAAAAAGACAATGCTTTCTTCTCACTGGCAGGGAGAATCCTGGTGTCAGCAAAACTACAAAACAAATGAACTTTCTCCTTCCCAGGCCACGACAGAAGCCAACACTACTTGCCTCCTGGGATCCCAAAAGCTGCAGCCTTGGGACCCTGATCACATGCACCTCCTGTCCTCCTCCCCATCAATTCCTTCAGTGTTTACAGACAGGCCCGAGTGCTTGTGGTAGCAGGGGCCAACTCTGCTGTCCACTGCAAAGATGACCAGAGGACAAACGTGCTGTGGGAAAGGACCGGGAATATCTGTCACTGTATCACCTCTGGATCCTGAAAGAACTTCCTTTCTCTTGATGAATTCACCACTTTCTAGATTAATCCACCCACATCACACTCACCCCAGGTGGGACTCCTGCTATGGAGAATGACCCATGACTTTGAGCTTTTTTTGGTTTTAAAGTGCTTAGTGTAACAGTGTAGACGCCTCTCCTAACTACTCTGGGCTCGCCAGCTGCCTGGCGTGCTAAATGCCCTCCACTCTGCACACAGTGGGCGTGCCCGGAGGGTGTGGCTATCTGGCTATGGTGGGGTAGAGTGCTTCTGGCATGTTCACTTTAAGAAAACACCTGCCAAAAGAGAACAGTGCCCAAGAGACACCTGGAAAAGAAAAGTACATGGCTGCTTCTTACTGTACACCCTAATTCTTTAAAGCAGCAAAAGGCACTTTTTTTTCAAGCCAGAGTTAATTTAAAACAAACCTGGCTCTGCTTACAGGAAAAGCTGTCCCAGAAGGACTGAATGATCCATCTTGTTCCCTGAGGCCTGGAGAGTCCTCAGGAAGCGTGGGGCAGGGAGCTGGCTGTTCCAGGCTCCTACCACACTCTCCAGGCTGCAGTGTGTCCCCTTCCGGGTGCTGACAAGTTTCCAATGACATTTCCAACCAGGAAGGAGAGACCAGCAATTGAGGGGATAAAGCAAACCAAAAGAAGGAAGCCATGGTAGTGAGTGGGTGCCTATTTGGGAGTGGAAAGAGGATCTAAAGAGAACGGGAAGGAAGGGACGCTGGACAAGTGGGCACTTGGGAGTGTGGGCTGTTTATAAAGAGCAACTCTGGCTAAAGTGAAATGTTAAATAATTGAGTAGAAAGGAAACTTCAGGGTCTTAGAAGCTCATCCTTCTGATGAGAACTATTTTTTTTCCATGAAGGAACTATTATTTTTAAAGTGAAGGTACTTGACACGTTGGGTGTATGTAATTCTAAAAATAGTAATAAAAGTGTCTTTTATAAGCAACATTGTGTGGCTTGTGGAAGAGACAAAGCACAAAAAAAGGCAGGCAAAACCAGTCTTTGGGCCCTAAAACTTAAGATTCCTTCCCATTTGACTGGAAATGCCCCAGTGATTTCTAGGCTGAAAATAGGTAAGATTTACCTAGTAACCTAGTTCACATCTGTCTCTCTGCTTTCTGACCAACTAATGGAGCTGCTCTTAAGAGAGGCAATCTTGATCCTGGGATAGCATCCTTTGCCCCCTTGCCTTCATTCCAAGGTCTGACTTGTTTAGCAGCAGCTCCCTGCTTTGTCCAGCTGAAGCAGACAGAACAGGAGGAGCTGTGAGGAGGGCATTCAGTGGTCCAGCTTACTTAGTACTGGGCAGCTAAGAGGTTCCCCAGTAACCAGGCCCAGCAGGTCCCAAAGGCAGCTGGGAGCTAAAGAAATCCATTTCCTCCAACACAAGAGGAGGCAGTGGAGAGCCCACTCAGAAGGCCCCTGTGAGGGAGGAGAGAGTTCTACGCCCAGGCCCCCAAGTGCCTGGTGTCAGGCAGGCTCCGCCACTGGCCTCTGAAGCAAAGGCAAACCATAGACAGGCAGGGAGGGACGGCAGGAATAGAAAACCCTTGACAGAAACCCTTTTAATAAAGGAAATTCCACCCCTCCCAACCCTTCCACAGAAGGGTGAGACCTTAATATAATGTAAAAGGAAGTGTCTCTGGCCTTCAAGGAAACAGCTGCAGCTGAAACTTTGGGGCCCACTCCAGGGCACTCTTCACCACAGCCAGCGCGGCCGCTCCCAGTGCCACCGTCAGCCCCATCACGGCCAGTTTCACAAAGCGGTTGGTCCTTGGTTTGGTCAGGACATCTTTCGTTCGATCCTCAGGCCGTAGGAGTCCCCGAAACCGCTGCCGCAGCACCATGTCAGGCCTCTGCTGGGCTGATGCCAGCTCAAAGTCTTTGAAGGTAGAGGCTGCCGTTCTGCAGAGGGGAAGGAGACAGAAAGAAGGAAATGGCAGGAAAGAAGAAGAGAAGAAAAGAAAAACTAGATCAAATAGGCTGAGGGCAGAGCTATCCACTGCTCAGAAAACTCTTCTTGATAAAGACCCGTAAAGTCTCAAGTGGGGATTCCACTAGCACAAGCTCAGGTCTCTGGAAACATCTCCCCAGCGCTGTCCCACCAGACACAACCCTCCATCACTTCTGTTCGCTAACACCCCTGCTCAATCAGTGCCTTGGCCTCACTCACTTCTCGGCCTGCTGTTGGGCAGCTGCCTCTCGAGCAAGTTCAGACGGGGGAAACTGAACAAAGAGGTCTCCAGCTCTACTGATCAGCGTCTCATAGGGCAGGTCCTGAGGGATCTGGGACAACAGGTGGTGGACCGAGGCCATGTCACAGTCACAATCCAGGACTTCCTGCTCTCGATACAACACGATCTGTGGGGAGCAAGGCCTTGCATCAGAGACCAGAACATACAGGGCCTGGGCCACTTGCATTTCATTCTCCTTAGAGATAAATTTAAATTGGTAACAGACAGAGTTCACCCCAAATGTTCGGCAAATTTTTGCATCCATCTAGGAAGTAATACTGTACATATCTGAGTGCTTTTCCTACTGGGTTAGCCTTCCTGCCAAAGGCAAACTTCCACCCATCTTGTGAAAGGCTGACCAGTTAAATGAAGGAGATTCTTTTAGAAGGAAGAAAAGGAGAGGGATTACTGGAGATTCCTGGAGCTCCAGCATGGGAGAAACGGTTCAAAACAGTAGGAAGAACAGTCTTGCTTCCTTTCAAGAGCAATGAAGAATGCCTCTGAGTCCCGACCTCCACCCCCCCACCCCCACCCCGGATGATTCAGGCCCTTCTCATAACTGGACCCCCACCCCCCATAAGCCATCTCAATTTTCTACTGTAATACCACACCTCTTCTTTACTTAAACCCGGAGTCGGCAGTTTGTACTAGTTTCAGGAGATGTCAATAGGAACACATAACTCACAATGCACGTGCAAATTTTAAAGGTTCTGAAGAATCACAAAGTAAACAAATCTGTTTAACTTGTTTAACCAGCATTTCCCAAATGTACTTTTACACGGAACATGTTTTTCCCCATGACTCTCCCATTCACAGTGCACAGAACAGCATCCAAGGACATCAGCCTGGGAGATGCTGTCTTTTGGATCGTTCCACAATCACCAGGTTTCCCGTCAGGGAAAATGATCAAGCTGGAATAAGTGACGGTGAACCTAGCTGCTGCTTCTGCCTGTACCTACCACAGCTGCAAAGTAAATGGGCATCAGCGGGTGGCAGGCCAGGAAGAAGTCGTATAACCGCACGACGTGCCTGAAGTCAGACAGGACATGCCCAAACCACGTGATGAGCCAGCTGAGGGCAAAGATGGTCCCCACCTCGGCACTAGGAGCAAGGAAATCCAGATGTTAGCTTCCCTGCTGAGTCACCCCTTCCCTCTCTCTGGGCCTTTGTCATCACTGCTGCGAGAAGGAAGCATCTGGGAAATACACTTTTTGGAAAATTCAGTTGCCTAGGAATTCAGCATCTTCTCCTTACAAAATACAAAGTCCTTAAAATGTACCCACTATCGTGACACTAACACCACAACAGGGCCCTGGTTGCCTTATCTCACCGGGTGCTCTCCTAATGGCCAATAAATGTCAACCACAGGAACAAGAAGGAGCCGTTTCCACAGAACTATCCCAGGATTTTCCTTCTGAGAGAGTCAGACCCTTTTGGGGGGCAGAGGCACATATTCTCAGGCTTGAAAACACAATCATATTAATTTTTCAGTGAACATGAGATGACTGAAACACCTTAAGACATAGCCATTATTTTAAAAAAAAAAGAGAGAGAGAGAGAAGCATCGACCAAGGACCTATTTCCAATGAAATAGAAGAGAAAAAAAAGTCTTGTGAAAGAAATATTTCTTCTCCTTGGTACTTGGTGAATAAAACAATCCAGAGATGCCCTTATCTTTCTCGCCTCTAGATCCTACAGGACTTTGTATCTCTCTTGTGGCAATAACCTCAAACTCTACCTCGGCATACTCACCTTGTCCACCTCTCCCCACTAAATGTAAACTCCTCGAAAGCATGGGCTGTGACATCTCTCATATCCCCAAAGAGCACAGCAACCAAAAAGTGCTCCAAGATTGTGTACAGAACTACATTATCCAGATCGCCGGTAACTGGAAAGGACAACTCGGAAGAACTTAACACTAATCAACATAAGAGGATGACGCAACTGAGCTAGACTTGTGGGGAAGAAACAAAGGCTAGGAGAAACCTGAAGGGGGGGTGTGGGTGTACACACATAAATGCAGACACATATATACCTCTGCATGAAGTCATGGAGTTCTGGATTCACCTGGTCAATGATGGGCATCAGATAGTTTAATATATGCTTGGTGTTGTCCATTGTTGGATCCATGAAATCCCTAGAGGGAGAGAATTCAATGAGCTTGGTCTGACCAAAACACTTAGAGGGGTGGAATGGGGCTCAAACCATTGAGTACACTGACTAGAAAATGGGCTGAGGAGCTATCCCCAGTGGGGCTTGAGGAGTGATACCCATCCTCTTAAGTTCCTCTGCAGTGGTACCTGAGGTGGTGGGTAGACAATTTTTCTACCAGGGATGTTGCCAGCCTCTTGCCTACCACCAGCAGAAATGTGACCACGATGTCATGGTAGCCCTGGTAGTAGTGCAGCTGAGGGTTGCGCTCCAAGATGAGGAGGATGATGTCGATCAGTTCTTCCTGGAGCCCTTCTCTCTGTTCTTCTGGCATGCCTGGGGAGGAGGAGGGAGATGCACTTGAACATGGCAAGCAGCGTAGTAACAGCGAGGTAAGGAAGATGGTCAGCAATGGATTTTCAGAGAAAGTGTTTAATAAAAGAAAGTAAGTTACAAACAATTTGGCAACATTTATCAAGATTCACACACCGGTGACACCACCTGGCACACTGGAAAGAGCCACAGACTAGCAACCTTCCAGTAGGGGAACCTGGCAGACACCACCTTAATGAAGTCACCACAGTTCACGTTGCCAGCAGGGTGACTATTCAACAGCGTGTGCCGCCGGAAGTGATACACTGAAAAAAACTCAGCACCATTTCTGTGGAATACCTACCAAGAGTGTATAACCCTGAACCTGATAATGAGTAAATACCAGATAAACCCAAACTGAGGGAAATTTTATCAAATAACTGGCCTGTCATAAAATGCAAAGGAACTATTCCTGATTACAGGAGGGTAAAGAGATACAATGACTGAGTGGGAAATGCATGAATTTGTATTTCCTTTTCCTAGGAAGGACATTACTGGGATAAATGGTGAAATCTGAATATAAAGTCTGTAGATCAGATAACAGTACTTTTCAAAGCTGTTACTGATTTTGATAAGTGTACTGTGATTATGCAAGAGTCTTGTTTTTGGGAAATATACTCTGAAATATTTATGGGTAAGGGGGTACCATGTCTGTAATTTATTCTTAAATAGTTCAGAAAAAAACTGTGTGTGTATAAAGAAGAAATAGAAAGCAAGTGTAAAGCAAATAGAGTAAAATGTTAACATATAAGGAAATCTGGGTAAAAGGTATCTGGGGAGATTTTCATCCTATTTTTGCAATTTTTCTGTAGGTATGAAATTATATAAAAATAAAAAAATTAGGAGTTGCATGTTTCCCTCTAAACAAAACTAAATATCACAGGAGAGACCAATCTCCTCGATCCACAGATGCAGGGGAGCCTGTCTTGGGAGCTCTTTCCAAGTAGGCGGCTGTATGTGGCAGTGGTCAGTGTAGCTCCTCAGCTCCTCTGGCTTTTAGTATAAAGATACCAAACCTTGGCCTTGTGAGCTGCTTTAGAAGAACAGCACACAGGACAGCTTTCTTATACCATTAGCTTTTCCATTTAAAAACAGATATTGTGAGAGAAGACAGCTAACAAAAGGGCCCAGACTAAACTGAACACAGGGTTTAAAGTGAGAACACAGCTCATTTCTTGCCTCTATTTACCCCACCCCTTCTCAAAACGGCATACTCTAAAAGATAAAATAAAACAGAAAACGGTGTAAACCTAGTTCTATGGACAGGTAAAGTCATGAAAGTAGTTGAGAGAAAAAATTATACTCTGCTTGGATTCTCAGTATAAGAGTGGTCAGCTAAGCTCAGAAGAACATGAATGTACAAAGAATATGAAACCCTATGGAAAGTTCAGCCTACAGAAAGAACATCACAGACTGATGTTACATAAATGGAAGAAGAATAGAGTTCAGAGGGAAAACAGGTCACCTAGGGGAAAATGGGAGGCATCTGTCCTATGTGGTTTCATCCAAACCAGCAGGATAGAGAAAGCGGACTGGACCACTGACATCAAAACCAAGATGGCAGGCTACTGGCTACACAGGAATCACAAGAGCCTCTCCAGGGAGCCAGGGAGTAAGCAGGACAGACGGCCCTTTAACAGACAAAATCCAAGCCAGAGCACGGGTACAGAAGAGGGAAGCAACAGGTTTAGAAGCTCTTCTTCCCTCTAGCAATTCTCCTCTCTTCATGGACCTAAAGGTGGCGTTGTCAGCGAGAAATAGATCATAAACGTGAGGTTTGTTGCCCAGTTTCCTTCATTGTGAAAATGGAGATAATGGTCTTTCTTCTTATTCTTCCTGGAATGGGGAGGCAATTTTAGGAATAGACCTTTTAAACATGCAGGGAATGGCCTCCCTTGCAGTCCAAGGGACCCAATATACGTAAATGTAAGACATCATTATTTATAAGTCTAATCAAATGAGGATATTAATAGTTCTTGTTAGTGCCCACTTCTAAACCAATCTGCTCTTTAAAGCCAGACTGATGGCTCTAGCAATCCCTGTGAAGTCTCTTCTGTGGCTCTGAAAGGCGGAAAACCCTCTTCTCTCATTCATCACCTCTAGGCCAAGGGAAATCCGCTTTGGCTCCGGCTTTCTCAGTGAGGGTCTGAACACGACCGAGTCAATCAAAGAACGGCTCAGCAGATGGCAAATACGAAGGGTCCCCGAGGAGGCACGGTCCTCCTGCGTGTTAGGTCACGTGTGTGCTGGGATGGAAACTCCCTGGGACTGGCAAGCACCAGCACAAGAAAGTAAGTGCAACTGGGACAGCAACGCCCAAGAGGCAGGCCGAGAGAGTGTCTCACCAGGAGGGAAGCGCCGTAAAGATCGCCGCACGTCCAGCAGCACTTGTTGGTAGTCCTTGCTCATCTGTCGTAGGTCCTGCCCTATCGGAGGCAAAGAAACACATTATTGTAGGAATGTCTGGGAAGCCAGATCAGGAACGAAACATTCTGGTATGACACCAAAGGCCTGGAGGACACACTTCAGCTTTTTCCTGAAGAGGACATGACTCAAGACACAACATTTGGAGGGGAATCCCCAGTTCAGTTCCAAACATGCTGTTTCATGCAAGTCACGATGACTGTAAGAGGAGCGGACACAGACTGTCCAGGAGGCAACAGAGTGAGGTGGAAAGAGCAGCAGGGAAGTTTGGAGGCCAGGGGCCTAGTGTAGGCTACCACTGTGCATCACTGGGGCACTGCTCTGAATTTCCAGGTCCACATCTGTAAAATGGGGCTATTCCCTTCCATATGTACCTCTCAGATTACTGCAAAGATCAATAAGATCACGAATGTGGAAACCACAGACCACTGAAAAAACTCTAACATCTGTAAAGTCTACGGAGCACTGAGCTGTTCAGAAAGCAGTATTGAGATAAATTAATATAAAGGAGAACCTAACCTCTCTTGATCCTGAAATTCTAAAACTAAGACTGCAAATAGGAGATAGTACTTGTGTTCAGTTGATAAGCTCAATCAGTATGAAAGTAAGGAGGTAGTCTCTAGCTATTATATATATAACAGGTATACATGTCCCTCAACCCAAACTGAGTGTTATATAACAAGTGCACATTTCCTTCACAACCAAAATCAAAAGCTACCAGAGGAGCCTGTATAATACTTCCCCACATGCAGAATGCATCTTATAAAGAGATGAGAAATTTGGAATCTGATAGAGGAATATCACCTCTGGATTTAGTGTGTGAATACGGCAATGCCTTTTCCTTCCAACAAAAAAGCTGTCTAGGGCCGGCCCTGTGGCTTAGCGGTTAAGTGCGTGCGCTCCGCTGCTGGCGGCCCGGGTTCGGATCCCGGGCGCGCACCGACGCACCACTTGTCCGGCCATGCTGAGGCCGCGTCCCACATACAGCGACTAGAGGGATGTGCAGCTATGACATGCAACTGTCTACTGGGGCTTTGGGGGAAAAATAAATAAATAAAATTATAAAAAAAAAAAAAAAAAGCTGTCTACTCTGAGCCAGCCAGTTTCAAAGATAATAACAAGTGGCAACTTAAGATTATTCGGCTACACCATGACACTGTGAACTTTTTATTGGCAGAGGCCATTTTAATCATCTCCAGTACTGGGCACACAATAGGAGCACAACTTACTATCTGCCAAATGCATGAGAGAATCCCCAGCGCCTGGACTTTGCCACACATAGCAGGAAAGTAAGAAATGTTTGTTGAGTAAATAAATGACAAAGTGGATTCACTGTTCTGCAGTACTTTCTTTTGTATTTTGCACTGAAATACAAGAAACTCCTTTCACTACACAGTCCTTGCAAACCTGTTACGTAACAGCTTTTCATAGAATTACAGAATTTTAGAATTTAAAAGGATCTTAGTATTTCCCAATAAAAAGTTTTTTGTTTTTTTTTAAGGACCTTAGAAGTATTATCTCTCCCCATAGCCTAATGTTTCTCAAAATGTAGTCCATTTCTATCAGAATTAGGTGGCAGGCCTGTTAAAATAGATTCCTACAGCCCACCTCTAAGTGAATACAGACCAGAATATGCTTTTTTTTTTTTTTTTTTTGCTGAAGAGGATTCACCCTGAGCTAACATCTGCTGCCAATCTTCCTCTTTTTTTGCTTGAGGAAGATTAGCCCTGAGCTAACATCTGTGCCAATCTTCCTCAGTTTTGTATGTGGGTCGTTGCCACAGCATGGCTGACAAGAGGTGTAGGTCCGTGCCCAGGATCCGAACCCATGAACCCGGGCCGCCAAAGCGGAGCATGCCAAATTTAATCACTACATCACAGGGCCAGCCCTCAGAATATGCATTTTTAATAAACTCCCTAACCTAGCCAATAAAAGATAACTACCTACCTAATAAAAGCTCATTCTATTTTTGAATAAAATTCTACTTATCAGTTTGGCCTTATTTTCAGAGTGGGCCCAAGCATACCCTAACATGCTTTAGATTTACTCGTCTACTCTTGGTTTAAAAGGAGCATAATAAATCACAGATCCTGGAATTCTTTTTTCCTTGCCTGCTAGACAAGCTCCCCTCACAGTGCCCCCCACCCCATCACCTGATATAGGAGGTGGGTCACTGGTGTTGACATTGAGGAGCTTGGGCCACACTTTTCGCCTGATGTCATCAGTCAGGAGCCCTCCTTCACTGATAGCCATGCGTCTAAGGGCAGCCACATCGGTGGGATCACTGTTCAGAGCCTGGTGTATCTCTGCCACCTTTTTTTTCCTTTTGGCATTAAAGCCTGCAAAACAAATGGGAAAAAGGCATTAGGCACATGCATGTGTGCCTAATCGGCATGTGTACCTTTTCTATTCAGAGCTCAATCTCATTTGGTTTGAGGTACAGGCAGGTATTTTTAAAGGCAACCTACAGACATTTAATTAGCACATGATGTGCAAAACACTAAGAAGATATACCGTATAAGTAACAACCAAGGAATTACAATTATAATAAATGCTCAGTAAATTCAGACATATCTAACAGTTACTGTTAATGCTTTCCTCATAGAATGCTTGTTCTTTCTTTTTTTAATTGATGTCTTAATAGTTTATAACGTTGTGAAATTTTGGTTGTACATTATTGTTTGTCAATCACCATATACATGTCTCCCTTCATCCCTTGTGCCCACCCCCCAACCCTCTTGCCCCTGGTAACCATTAAACAGTTCTCTCCGTGTTAGTTTATATTCCACATATAAGTGAGATCATGTGGTGTTTGTCTTTCTCTGTCTGGCTTATTTCACTTAACATAATACCCTCCAGGTCCATCCATGTTGTTGCAAATGGGACGATTTTGTCTTTTGTTGTGGCTGAGTAGTATTCCATTGTATATATATATCACATCTTTATCCAATC